GACCTGGCACTTGGCCTTGTTGAACCTCAGAAAATTGGTCCTATCCCATGGATCCAGCCTGGCCAGATCCCCCTGTAGAAGGGAGATACAGTGCTGGTGTTCTATGAAGGGTACAGAAGTTTATGGAGCTCAGGAAAGAGCATCTGGCAAACATTCACTCAGCTCACTCATTTCTAGATCATGTATCCTAGAAAGTTTGCACATCCTTCATCCCCAGAGATATTTGGAATGAAAGAGAAAAGACTCTGAGGAGTCTGAAAAGACACTGAGGTGACTCCAGAGTGGCTGGAGTACGGGCTCAGGGCAGAGACAGCCCCAGGGCCATTCCAACCTGCATTATTCTTTATTTTTCTCCAGATGGCAAGGAGTTTTCCTAGTAGTTCACCTTCCAAAAAACCAGCAACACCACCCATATAATGAATCACTCGTGGCAGTTCAGGAAATCCTTTGTTTGTCTCTGTGCCCCGTATATAACAATATTTGCCCAGTGCTGCCAAGGCAGAGGGAGATTTTATAAATGAATGATTAATTTCCTAAATGATATCCACCAGTGAAAAGAAAGCATGTGATAGAGGATTCAATACACCAGGTTTAAAAACAAAACAAAAGAAAACAGGAAAAGCCTAAAACAAATGAAAAATGAAGTCAAATGTGAAAACATAGGGAAAAAAAATCCCAATCTATGAGTTTACTGGGTTCTTGCACTCAAGAGAAGGGATCACAGAGGAAAGCTGGGGAGAGCTGCATGACACAGGTCCCACAATTTTGGCATTTCTGAGATTAACACCAGCCACTGAAGCAGCTGAAATAGCACAGCCTATGACACTACTATTGAGAAGTCAGTTTTTAACAGATAACTGCATGAGGAAATATCAAATAAAAGACCCAAGAAGCGTGGTGCTTTCCATCACCACAGCAAAAAATGAAAAGAAATATTAAAAAAACTGTGCTGCTGTAGGGAGGATCCCAAACAGAGAGAAGGGTGAAGATGTTGCCCAAGGAAGTTGTGGCTGCTCCTCCTTGGAAGTGTTCAAGGCCAGGCTGGATGAGGCTTTGAGCAACCTGGTCTAGTGGAAGGTGTCCCTGCTGATGGCAGGGGGGTTGGAACTGGATGATCTTTAAGGTCCCTTCCAACCCAAACCATTCTATGATTCTATGTACTCACCTTTTTCCCTTTCATCTGCAGGTCGACTGAGTTTCCAAATATCATAAATTTTGCTCAGGCCAAAACGGTGAAGCCCCTAAAACAAACAATAATTTATCTTAAAATACAGGAGTAAAGCTGCTGTCTAGAATTTCTAGATAAACTAACAGAGCCCAGTGGTTATTGATGTTAAAATGGAAGGAATAAAGGAAATGTGATGAAGATGCAGAGCTGGTTTCCTGAAATTCTTGGAGCTGTAGCACAAGCAAAGGCAGCTGAAAAGGCCACAATCCAGCCTGATCTGCAGACAGACAGACAGAGAGAAGAGAACAGAACACTGTCTGATTGGCATTAGAACAAGAGTTATGGCAGAATATTTATATTGAATATATTTATATTCAAAGCCTGTTCAAAGAAAAAAACATTTCTATGGTTTTCTCTTTTGCTAACAATAAAAAAAAAAAGGTTGGTTTGGGGTATTTTAGCTTTTAATAGCTACGTATTGCTTTGTTAAAATGAGCTTTAAAAGTCTGTTGTGTCATAAATGCTGCTGGCTTATTGACTCCACGCTGGTTCATGGGAAAGCCAGCACCAGGCACAACTGCATCCTCCTTTCTGAAGTGATGGGCCACTCCAATGAAGATAAACTTGTTAAACTGACTGTAAATGTTTCAGTTTTGCTGCAAACTGAAACCAAGGCTTTGTTTTGGCAATTTTTACTTTCAGAAAGTATTTTTTCCCCTCTTGTTTTCAAATTTGTTTTGTTTTGTTCCATAAGTCCAAATTTAGACATTCCAAACTGCAAAGAAATGAGGATTTTTGGTACTGGGTGGCCAGTTCAAACACTCATTCCACTATAATAGGCAGATTTCTGGTGAAAAAATGATTATGAACTTAAAATATCAGCCTAAAATTCAAAAGACTTGGCTCTTCCTCAAATATATTCAGCACTAGGACAACCATTCATTCTCTTTGTGCTTCTAAGTTTCTGGGTGTGGAACAAGATCTCAGATTAAATCAAAGGTATTGATGATTCAGAGTTTGAAGATTAATGATTTCTCTGAGGCTTTTGAAATGTGGAGCCTTATTAAAACCTCCCTGCAATTCAAGCAGGTGAAGTTCTGCAGGTGTGCACACACACGTAGGTTCTCCTTCTTCAGACACATGGGTGCTTTTTTGGCAAAGGAAAATTCAGTGTAAACCTCAGAACTGTTGCTCCCTCAAGGAGTTAACACTCAACATTGCTGAAAATCCTCATTTCCCTTATCAACAATGCTGGTGAACCAACCTGCCCTGGCTTTCCTGGGTGTATTGAGATGAGGAACAGACCGTCATAGGTCTGGAAATTAGGAATGAGGACAGGACAGCCCTCTGTGGCATCTACAAGCCCAAAGGTCACCTGCAGCTTCAACCATTGTCTTCATCTCTCAAGAGAACTTGAAAAATGTTTATTCTCTCAGGGCACAGCCATGTGTCTTTCATTACTTTTTGCACTCAGCCTGCAATTACTGATTTTTATTCCCCTAATGCAGGAATATTGTGCCACTGCCAGCAGGCAAAGGCAGCGAGCAGCGCTCCATCTAATGCAAATACTTGCAGTGACTTGTTACAGACACATATTGAGTCCCATTCTGGAGCCCCCAACACAAGAAAGACATGAGCCTGTTAGAACAGGTTCAGAGGAGGCCATGAGGATGATGCGAGGGCTGGAGCAGTTCTGCTGTGAGGACAGGCTGAGAGAGTTGGGGCTCTTCAGCCTGGAGAAGAGAAGGCTCCAGGGAGACCTTCTAGTGGCCTCCCAGTACCTGAAGGGACTCCAGGAAGGCCAGGGAGGGACTTTGGACAAGGGTAGGGAGTGAAAGGACGAGGGGTGATGGCTTGAAAGTGGCAGAGGGGAGATGGAGCTGAGACGTGAGGAAGAAATTGTTTGGTGTGAGGGTGGTGAGCCAGTGTCCCAGGTTGGGCAGAGAAGCTGTGGTTGCTCCTCCCTGGAAGTGTTGAAGGCCAGGCTGGATGAGGCTTTGAGCAACCTGGTCTAGTGGAAGGTGTCCCTGCTGATGGCAGAGGGGTTGGAACTGGATGATCTTTAAGGTCCCTTCCAACCCAAACCAGTCTGTGATTCTATATTACTCTGCCCCAGCCCCAGCCAGCAAACCAAAGCTGCTGTTGTCTCATCTGAGCCTGGTGAAAAAAGGGACAGATGAGCCTAAAAAGGGAGCCTCACCTGCACAGATCTGAGAACAGCTGCTCCAAATAACTCTTCCCCAGCTGTAACAGATTTCTGCTTTCTCCTGGAATATTAGTTTTAAACCTGGGTGCTACAGACAGCAGATCAGCCACACCTATTTCAAGTCACACATAGGTGTCACTGCTACAAGTGCTAACAGCCTTGGGGACTTGAGGTTGGGACATGAAAGACACATGGGCAATTTCCCCTTACCCCAATCACGTGTATTTTAATCGGTCTCTCTCTTCCAGTAATTTTCACAGCGTCTTCAAACACGTTAAAATTGCTTCGTGATAAGATTGTTATCTTCCCCTCCATGCCACCTCTCACATCACCTGCATGAAGACATTCCCAGTTAGCCAGGACAGTTAGAAAGTTGGTATCTAAACCCAAAGATCTTCATAAATCAGGATTCATCCTGAGACACTTTGTTTATTATGCAGTAGCTCTGTAACTCCCAGTCACTGAATGGAGATGACTGAGCCAAGAGATGCACCAACATGACTTACCCTTTTGGTTTCCACCCACTAATGTCTTATTCCTAATCCTCTTGCAGACATCAAGAATGGTTGCTCCAACGTAAGCTATTTCAGGACCAAATCTGAAACTCTATGTGGAAAAATGAAGGAAACAGCAGGAAAAGAAGAGGAACTTGTTAGAACCTACAAAAGTATTACTATCTATGGAACTATACAATTCCCACCAAGCTTCTGGACAGTGTTTCTCTGAGGAAAAGCACTCAAACTATTAACAGAATCCCAGAATTGTTTTGGTTGGAAAAGACCTTTAAGCTCATGGAGTCCAATCATGAACCCAACACTGACCAGTCCCCTATGACTAACCCATGTCCCTCAGCACTGTGTCTACACGACTCTTCAATCCCTCCAGGGATGGGGACTCCACCACTGCCCTGGGCAACCCCTTCCAATGCCTCAGAACCCTTTCAGCAAAGAAATTCTTCCTCACATCCCATCTCAACTGCCCTGGCCACAACTTGAGCCCATTTCCTCTTGTCCTGTCCCTTGGGTCTTGGTTGAACAGACCCACCCCCACCTCTCTCCACCCTCCTTTCAGGGAGTTGGAGAGAGAAACCTATTGCTAGAAAACCTGGTCACTCTTACACTCAAGGTGATAGGAACTGTGCTGTGAGATGGGACTATCACACAGGGCAAAACATGGTTTCCAGCCTCTCCACTCCAAAAGCTGTCACTGCCAAAACTCTACCCCAGTAAGTCAATGTGACATGGCACATCTGTCCTGCAGCAGGGCAGGGGCTGGAGGTGGTGGGAAAGCAGCCAGGTCCCTCACTTTGCTGGGTTCCTGGAGAGGTGACAGACTGGAGCAGCAGAGCAGGGCGGGAGGTTGCTCCTTATGGTTTCCCAACCTGTTGATCATTGAATCATAGAATGGTTTGGGTTGGAAGGGACCTTAAAGCTCATCCAGTTCCAACCCCCCTGCCATCAGCAGGGACACCTTCCACTAGACCAGGTTGCTCAAAGCCTCATCCAACCTGGCCTTCAACACTTCCAGGGAGGAGCAGCCGCAGCTTCTCTGGACAACCTGGGCCAGTGTCTCATCACCCTCACACCAAAGAAAAAGCCAGCAAACATGTCCTCCTTAATCAATGTGGTTTTATTTCAAGGAGGTCACTGCCAGAACAAAATTAATCTCCTTGCTCCTAACTTCTTCATCTCTCTGAATGGGACCCACTGTTGTAACAGACTGGCAATAGGAGCAAGGATGATATCTGCCCCTCCCCACTGAGCTGGAGCTGAGAACTAACACAGAAAAGAGGGGATCTCCTTGAAATAACCCATATACTCTACCCCAGTACCCATTTTTCAAGCCACATGGCTTCCTTAGTGATGGGATCACTCCACTAAGAGGCACAAAGAAGCTCTGCAGTGCAGAGAGTGAAGAAGCAAAGGACACCACTAATCCAGGCAATGCAAACACTCCACGGTGACAAACTCAAGAAGTCTGGTTGTTAGAACTTTGAAAAAGGATGTGAAACAATTTCCACTGTGTTAGGGATCTGTCCAAGGAAGGACAGCAGAAAACCCTCATCTTACCTGGGTGAGGTAGTAGACATGGGTGTGAGGCACTGAGTAGAGGGTATTGACAGCCCCTCGGAAGGTATAAATCTTCTGGTGAGGGTCTCCTACGAGGATTATGCCACATGTCTGTGACTGCACAATATCCATGATGGCTGCAGGAAAACATGGGAACATTAAGGGGGAGCTTGCTCATAAATCAAGAGGGAACTGTACAATATCTCTTGCCTGATGACTCGTGGCATTTAAGAAAGGGTCAACACAGCTGTAAGAGACAACATGTTGGGGAAGAAGCAAAGAGAAATGCACAGCTGACAAATGGGAGCTCTACAAACATCCTCCCACTGTTTTAGTCTGATGGTATTTTTTCCTGAACTGGAGTTGCACAACATCTTAAACTCACACTTGTGAGCCCAGCACAAATCCATCATCCATCCCCAGTGACCTGGACACACCACACATGTGCACACTGACTCACCCCAGTTCCACCAAGCCTTCTCAAGGCTCAGTGATGCTGGCAAAGCAACTGCTTGTGTTGTGTGCAGCTGCAAAAGCAGAGCCAAACAACCAGAAGACCAGGTCTCCAGCGAGCACAGGTGGGAGAGGGTCTGATGAAGCTTTTGAGCTGATTTAATACCTGCTGAAAAGTCCAGGCCTTCTTCTGTCCCACACTTCTTTTGCTCCTCAGCACACAGTTTGGTCTACTTACATCCCTTTGCAGAACCAATTCAACTTGTTTTGACACAAAAGAGCTGCTCCCCACATCCCCAGCAAAGAAATTCAGCAGCTTTCTGCTACATGACTCAAGAATCCCAGGGATGATGCACAAAATGGGCAAGACTTGCACCCATTGCTGGGGTGGGATGGAGCAGCTCTGCTGTTCTGCTAGCTAAATCATTTAATGTCTCACCACTCTTGTAATAATCCATGTCCTCAGCTGTGCTGGTATTCTGATTTTTATCCTGTTATCAGCAAAACAATAGCAAAAAAAAGATCTGGATGGCTGGTCTGGATGCCCAAAGCAATTGAAAACAACCTCTCAAGCTGATGCACATGTACTTTTGTAGCCTGCTTACAAGCTGCCTTACTGAATTTGCAAGGATCTGTGACCAAGCAATGGGTCAGTTATAAAATTACAGCTGAAGTGCAGAATTTTTTTGTAAATTGTGCTACTTCTCACACACCCCTGAGCACATGAACATCCTCTCTATAAAGTGCTTAGGAAGGTCTGCAGCTCTGTCTCCTGTCACCACTCACCTGGAGTGCAGTCCTGTGCTTCATCTACAAAAATGGCATCATATCCTGAGAGCTGAGGCTTGCTGAGCTGCCAAAGTTTCAAATACCCTGAGAGAAAGAACAAGGCATGTCAGTGAGAAGGTGATTTTTTCATTATAAAACACCATGATCTTTAAAACAAGTCCTTTTTTTAAAAGAAATAATTGTTTCTGGCCCTACTCCTTGCTTGGAATTTGCATGGGGTTACAAAAATCTCTATTGCTTCCAGAAACCCAAACAACAAACCCAAACCAACCTGATTGCACTGGAGGAAGGCAGATACGCTGATGATTCCAAAACTCTTAATGCACAAAGAAAATGACAAGGGAGAAGGTTTTCCCCAGTACAAGTTACCTCTGGTACTATCATGCTAAGAAGCAAGAGGAGAGGACGTGCCAGCAGCAGAAAGGAACAAACACTCGCTGTTAACACTCATTCCCCCACAGTCTCACCCGTTATTTCGACAATTTTGCTGCCAATCACACACATTTGAATAGTTCCACCATTTTCTGAGGCCAAAAATGAACAAACTTCCAGCCTTCAGGTCTGTTTTGAGCTCCCTGGTGAGCTAGTGGCAGGAGAACAGGAATTTTATACTAGTTGAGCTCATTTGAGACCAGCTCTGAAGAGAAGGACTTGGGGTGCTGGTGAATGAGAAGCTGAACATGAGGCGGCAACGTGCGCTGGCAGCACAGAGGCCAATAACCGTGTCCTGGGCTGCACCCAGAGCAGCGTGGGCAGCAGGTGGAGGGAGGTGATTCTGCCCCTCTGCTCCGCTCTCGTAAGGCCCCACCTGGAGTACTGTGTCCAGTTCTGGAGCCCCCAACACAAGAGAGACCTGGAGCAGCTGGAACAAGTCCAGAGGAGGCCACCAGGATGATGCGAGGGCTGGAGCAGCTCTGCTGTGAGGACAGGCTGAGAGAGTTGGGGCTGTTCAGCCTGGAGAAGAGAAGGCTCCGGGGAGATCTTATAGCGGCCTCCCAGTACCTGAAGGGGCTACAAGAAAGCTGGGGAAGGACTTTTCATAAGGGCAGTTAATGACAAAACAAGGGGAAATGGGTTTAAGCTGAAAGAGGGGAGGTTTAGATGAGATATTAGGAAGAAGTTCTTCACTGTGAGGGTGGTCGGACACTGGAACAGGTTGCCCAGAGAAGCTGTGGCTGCTCCTCCCTGGAAGTGTTTGTGGCCAGGCTGGATGAGGCTTTGAGCAACCTGGTCTAGTGGAAGGTGTCCCTGCTGCTGGCAGGGGGGTTGGGACTGGGTGAGCTTTAAGGTCCCTTCCAACCCAAACCAGTCTGGGATTCTATGATTCCTGGTGCACAGCCAGAAGTGAGAAGTTTGAATCCCTTTAGTTTTCTACTACAGCTCTTTATCTGAAGGCATTTTACACCTGTACTCTCTTACCATCAGAAGTCATTTTGTATTTCTTCTCCACGTCTCCATCCAGCTTCTTCATGTTGTACCATATCTCTTTTGCCTCTGCAACATTGATCTAGAAAGAGAAAACAGAAGGGTCTGGATAGATCACTTTGAGCAGAAAAACAGTCCAGGCACAGCAGATCTTGAAAGATCTTTCTCCTCCTACTTCTCTTCTGTGTCACCACCAGTTAACTAGTTTTCCTCAACACAGTGTTTTCCAAATGTAGCCCCTAAAAAGAACATTTATTTGGCTCAGCTTTTAGGACAGTGTAATAAAATACTCTCTAGCTTTGACAGACTAACACTGACTTTGTGTTTATTTTGGTTTCTCTGGACAGCTTGCAAGTTGCTTAAATGTATTTAATATTTTGAGGCTGTCAATTCATTCCCTGAATAATAATGACTGCAAATTGGATTTCTGCTGGCTGGACGGGATCTGATCAGATGTGATCAATGCAGAGCAGAAAGGTTAATTTTCTCCACAACTCCAGTTGATGTTGTTAGAGATGTCAGTGCTACCCTTGAAGCTTTGCTAAGATGTCTGAACTCTAAATAAGAAATTTTGGTTTGGTTCTGTGTATCAAAATGACTACAAAAATGTTTATTGTCTTTACCATGACATTGTTCAGGCAGTGATATAAATTTTTGCAATCCCTTCTCTCTTCTCATTGCAGGGAAGAAACATGCACTGAACAGAGACAGTGATAATCTCTCTAGAAACCAGCTGTGCAAACAGGGAGAACAAAGAGGCCCCAGTTCCTTTGGATTTGTCACCAAAAACTATTTTAACAGTCAGTTCTTACAGCTGAAACATAAATATCCACAAACTATGAGCAATGTGGGTTAACTACAGCCCCTTCTAAACCTGGCAGCCCAAGTCCTGCTTCATCTCCAATACTTACTTCCTTTTCTGATGGACTGACAAGTCTTCTCTCACCGTGAGTATCTCTGAACCAAACAGGAGTGTGCTCTGCAGAGATCTCTTTATCTGAAGAGGCAAAAAAGTTTTCAAGGGTCTGCGAGACTGTTTTCCCTCTTATAAACAGAGATTGTCCTTCACGGTATTGGAGAAGGAAACTGATGGAGTAAACGGACATCTTGGAAAAGTTCAGCTTGCCTTTTTCTTTATAGCTGTGTCACAGATGCCAGAAAATAAAGAGAAACATGTTGAAACACACATGAAAAGCCTACTGGAAAAGCAAGCTCATTTTTGCTTCTCTTGCACACTAATATTTGCAGAAACTCTAGTTTTATACACCCACTTTGACCTACTAATGGAATAGCTGTAAAATCTGCATATATTTCTCCTCACTATATTCTTAGTGGAAGCACAAACTTGTTCATTTTATATTTGAAAAGTTGAGCCAGAGAGATATTCCCATCATTCACCCCAACAATTACAGATTGTTTTCAGAGCCAGGTAAGAGGATTCCAGGTTGGATGAGGCTTTGAGTAACCTGGTCTAGTGGAAGGTGTCCCTGCTGATGGCAGGGGGGTTGGGACTGGATGAGCTTTCAGGTCCCTTCCAATCCAAACCATTCTATAATTCTATGATTCTCCTTTTCTTCCAGGTTGTGGCTCATTTTCCCTTCTGCCTGTAGTTTAGATGGGCCAACATAATTGGTCAGAAACTGTATCATTAGAACAACTCAGGTTAAGAAAACCCCTCCTCTGCTGAAGAAAAGCAGCATTTAGTGTGGTTGTACTACTGAAGTGGAAATGGGAAATGGGAAAAAGCCATTCTCAGTTACTTTCTATCTCCCTGTGAAGTGTTCTTTGGCTATAAACACAGGGAGGATGAACAGCCCCCAGAATAACAATGGGGCTTATGTCAGCACAGTCTATGTCAGGGTGGAGCAATGAGTCTGTTTCCCTAGGATCACATGGATGCTAAAGTCACTGATCCATCCAATCTGAAAGAATTTGGAAACCATAAATCACAGTCTGGCTTGAAGCAGGTGAAAAAAAAACACAATTTTCCCCAGGATTTTTGCTTTCTCAGATCCTGGAGGCTTACTTCAAAACCAGACCTTCCTTTCCTGACATGTCTTTTTCCTGCTACACTGGCCTTCAATGAAGGAAGATTGGATGTGAGGAAGAATTTCTTTGCTGAAAGGGTTCTGAGGCATTGGAGGGGGTTGCCCAGGGCAGTGGTGGAGTCCCCATCCCTGGAGGGATTGAAGAGTCGTGTAGACATAGTGCTGAGGGACATGGGTTAGTCATAGGGGACTTGTCAGTGTTGGGTTCATGGTTGGACTCAACAATCTTACAGGTCTTTTCCAATCAAGGTAATCCTGGGATTCTGTAATTGCCACTCACTCTTTGCCAACACTTCCAAATGCTAAAGAATGGAAAGTCCTGCACGTAACGTTTCTGGGGAAGACCCTTTTCCCCCTCGCTGCAACAGCTTTGTTAAATGTCACATAAAGGAAATTCAGATCAGCAAACTTCTCCGCATACTTGACCAAGGTTGAGGTCTTTCCTGTACCTGAAGAACAGAAGAAAGTAAACAAAAAGCATCCAGAGTCAGTAAATGAATAAATTTGCAGATCTTTTGTCAGCTTTACCTTCCCTCTCCTCCTGTCCTAACTGCACAGCAGGACTATTTGCAGCTAATGCGAATTTATTCACTGACTCAACTGAAATAAGCAGAAGCTGTGGAGCAAAGCAGCTTTGAAAAATTACAGTCTGCAGCCTAAAAGCTTTTAAAAAAAAAAGAAAATCTTTTTACCACCCAATATTCTAGAAGTCTGAGCATACAGGAAGGTACTGGTTCTCTTGAAAGACAGCTTGGTAAATGAAATGTTAAAATTTCTCTTTTCAATGATCCATGTGCTCATTTCCTCGTAAGATCTCACCCTAATGCTGCTCTCCTTTACTCCAGTTTGCTGCAGGACAGCACTGTCCCCACCTCATGGCAAAGTTGTTTCACTCCTGGAGTACCAGTCACAACAGAAAACTGAGACAAGAAGGGCTCTGCACATTTCCTTCTTTGCTCCTTTTCTTATCCTCAGTGATGACACAGCACCAGCAAACTTTGTCACCTTCACATTCCTCCCAGATTCCTGGGATATCCCAGATATCCTGGGCTGCACCCAGAGCAGCGTGGGCAGCAGGTGGAGGGAGGGGATTCTGCCCCTCTGCTCCGCTCTCCTGACACCCCACCTGCAGTGCTGCCTCCAGTGCTGGGGCCACCAACAGCACAAGGACATGGACCCACTGGAGCCAGTGCAGAGGAGGCCACCAGGATGATGCGAGGGCTGGAGCAGCTCTGCTGTGAGGACAGGCTGAGAGAGTTGGGGCTCTTCAGCCTGGAGAAGAGAAGGCTCCAGGGAGACCTTCTAGTGGCCTCCCAGTACCTGAAGGGGCTCCAGGAAGGTGGGGAGGGACTTTGGCCAAGGGCAGGGAGTGACAGAACAAGGGGTGATGGCTTGAAAGTGGCAGAGGGGAGATGGAGCTGAGATGTGAGGAAGAAATTGTTTGGTGTGAGGGTGGTGAGACAGTGTCCCAGGTTGTCCAGAGAAGCTGTGGCTGCTCCTCCCTGGAAGTGTTGGAGGCCAGGTTGGATGAGGCTTTGAGCAACCTGGTCTAGTGGAAGGTGTCCCTGCTGCTGGCAGGGGGGTTGGAACTGGATGAGCTTTAAGGTCCCTTCCAACCCAACCCTAACCATTCTATGATTCTATGGTTCTGTTACACATTTTGCTAGCAGTTCCTCAAGCTCTTTTTCTGCTCTCCCTTGTTGCAGTTACACAGAACCTGTCAGAGCTCATGAACATTCCCATTTTTGTCATTTGGATGCAGTGACTTTGTACAGACATAAGAATCTACTATTAGTGGCTTCCGTGGCATGGTGCCTGGCTGTATGTGTCCTTTTGCAAACCTCTCCTGGCAAAGAGCATGCTTTTGGTCTTAACACCCAGTGTGATGTCTTTAAAGGTGTGGTGGTTGCACTGGGCTGGCAGCCAAACACAGCCCCTTGCTCACCCCCACCCCCAAGGGATAGGGGAGAGAATTGGAGGGTAAGGGTAAGGAGACTTGTAGGGTGAGATAAGAACAATTTCATTATTGAAATAAAAGAAAACTTAAAATAATACTATATTAAAATAGTAGTGATAATGATAACAGTAATAAAATATGCAAATGAGT